GGGGCTGGAGAGATGGCTCAGAGGTTAAGAGCAGTGACTGCTCTTCCAGAGGTCCTGAGTTCAATTCCCAGCAACCACATGGTGGCTCACAACCATCTGTAATGAGATCTGGTGCCCTCTTCTGGCCTGCAGGCAAACATGCAGGCAGAATACTATACACATAATAAATAAATCTTTAAAAAAAAGAGAGAGAGAGAGTACAAAACTCCTCTGTGGTGTGTTGCTTATAACAGCAGCAGTTTTCCAGTTACCCATTAGAATGACAGTTTTAAAATTAAAATGGTTACCAGGTATGATGATGTGCACCCCTAATTCCAGGGCTCGAGGCAGAAATGAGCAGCTCTCTTGAGTTCAACACCAGCCTGTTCTACATGCTAAGTCCTAGGCCAGCCAGGGATGCATAGTGAGATCCCATCAAAATTATCTGGGTGTTTATGTAAGGTATTGGTGTGTCATTCACAGAGCATCCTTAGAACACAGCCGTAAGATGGGCATTTTTCATATACTAAATGTCAGTTACTTTTACTTATAAATGTCAGTTCCTAAGCATATGTTAGATTATATTCCATGAGCCAGTTACTATGCAACAAAAATAATTAAACTGATAAGTTGATTAAAATTCAGTTTAACTGACAAAAATAAGTAATTCATTTGTTGAATAAAGTCATTCTGCCCAAATACCTCTGCATATATAGAGATAGAGAGGAGAGGCCTTTCTAGCAGAAAAAGCGACAGCTTGCAGGGATTCAGAAGCATGGCAGGATGGTAGACGTGTAGGTTTTAGGGAGTTTCTGTGCAAAGTATTCTGGGAAGGAAGAAACCCATCTCTGGTGACCCAGTGCCTACAAGATGGCCAGAACTTGGACTTGGAGCTGAGCTGTATTAACTCAGGGTGGTGGGCAGTGGAAGCATTCACAGTGAAATTGTGACAAGACATGGAGAATGGGTATGTTGTGGAAATGAGGAATAAAGAGCAGTTCTGTTCTAGACCATCAAGTGTTCTTCTAAAGAGCCAGAGGGCTCTGTCTAGGACCTAGGGTTTTTATTGATGCTTGACTCCTTATCTGAGCAGGATACTTTTTTGTTGTTGTTGTTTATTTTTGTTTTTTTTTTCATGGCTGTTTCTCTGAAGCTCTCCCTGTCCTAGAACTCACTCTGTAGGCCAGGCTGGCCTCAAACTCAGAGATTCACCTGCCTTTGACTCCCAGGTTCTGGGCTTAAAGGCATGCACCACTACCATCTGGCCAGGCAAGATACTTTTAAAATCACACTGGTGGCACACCCCTTGAATCCCAGCACTCAGAAGGCAGAGGCAAGCCAGTCTCTGATTTTGAGGCCAGCCTGGTGTGCAGAGCAAGTTCTAGGACAGCCAGTTACAGAAAAACCCTGTCTTGAAAATCAGAAACAGAAAAATTTTAATTGCTTAGGCAGTTTATATTTTCTAATTTTTAACCCATAGGAGAGTGACCCTAAACCATTAGAAATCGTAGAACAAAAAACAAAAAGAAGCAGGACTGTGAAGACAAGAGCAAGCAGGTAAGCAGCACTCTGCTCCGTAGCCTCTCTACTTGTTGGCTAGGAAGGAGGGCTTCTCAGACATACCTGGTACTGGCTCCTTGACGGTGGCCAAGAGCCCGGTGCTGAAGGTAGCCTTCTCCGGAGTGGAGACCGGTGGCTCCAGGTGGTTCATCGTCCACTGGTGTGACTGGGAGAGAAGATAGTTTGCCCTTTCATAATAAGGAATTATAACTTTAAAGTCCCACAGTTGTTTCTCTGCTAGCAATGTTACTGCATCTGTGGTAAAATCAGTTCATTGGGATATTTTTGTTTCATGGTATTCTGTTCATGCTGTACTTAGGCATGGCTAAACTTAATAAACATACAAATGAATAAATAAGCAGAGTGCTGATGTGTAAATTGTCTGTGTCTAAGGTACACATACTCAGCAGCTGCTCCTGTTTGAGTTCTGCCCCACCCCACCCTACCCCACCCCACCCCTTTGTGATACAGCACTGCATACCTAAGCCGAGCCCTGAATTGTGGTTTTCCTTAGACTAGGTCTTTAGAACATAGAGCCTTGGCTAGATTGGAGCTTGCTAATGAGTAAACCAGGCCAACCTCAAACTCTTCCGCTGTCCTCCTGCCTCTCTTCCCGAGTCTTGGAATTTTATAAGCTCCGTGGGCCTGCTGGCTCTCATCCCATGAACAAACCATTTCCTATGTATATGTACTAAGTATGTCGGCACATGTGGGATGGGTGGAGGTGACACTGACCCTGCTTGCCATTAGCCCTCAGCTGTGCTTTGGTCCCTCCCCCTTCAGCTCTCCACAGAGTGACCCACTGGGGTGCCTGTTCCTACTTGAGTGTGTCTCTCTTTCAGAAACACAGGGAAAGGAAGCTCTTGGTCACCTCCTCCTGTAGAAATTAAGCTGATTTCTCCCTTGGCAAGCCCTGCTGATGAAATAAAGATCAGCAAACCAAGAAAAACTACAGAAGTAGCAGGAAAAACTCTTGGAAGGGGCAAAAAGAAGCTGTCTTCCTTTCCGAAGCAGGTTCTACGCAGGAAAATGTTGTAATTTTTAGCCCAAGATTTTAACGTGCACCTGTTTGTAAAGTCATCAGTATTTGTGTGGATTATTAAAGTCACCTAATTTGGAAGGAAATAATTTATATAAATTGTACAATTTTGTAAACAAGTAAATAAGTAGCTCCACATGAAGTGTGGTTCTTCTAGTCCAGGCGTTTTATAAAATTTCATACGTTTATATAATATGTAAATATGGCTTATTATTGGGATGTTAAATAAACTACTGTAAAGTATACCACTGTGTGTCTGTTAGATTTTTGAGAAGGGATTTCTGTCTTAGTCGTGATTTTATATGCTACTAGACATTTGTCCGTTTTCTTCATTGGTACTAGAACTAGTCTTGAAATGAGGGTAACCGACTGTTGATTATTTTTTAAAGTTGCTGTTTTATAATTTATGCACTTTGAGTCTGTTACTCAGATTTCTAATCATTACATGTACTTTCCTTGGGCTTTGCCTGATACTGTGTTGAATTTGAATTGTGGGCATGTGATTTTTGCCTTTTTGTAGTTTTACAAATTTTGTGTAATCTACCTCAAAGGAGTAATTTTCCAGTAATGCATTGATTAACTATAATGCTGGCATTTCTTGTTCAGTAACTTAAAGACTATTCTTGTCTCAATTCAGAGACTAATTATCCAGGTTAGATTGACCGGTTCACTGCTTCTTAGCAACCTCATGAAAAGGATTTGAGAAGGAAATGTGAATAAAACTGCTCCAGATACTCAGTACACCTGGTGTGTGCCTAACGTTGAGAAGAGGAGTCGGACCAATTTTAGACACCCATGCTGTGACAGCTCCTGAACCCCAGGAGCCTCTTAGGATTCAGGTTAACACTGCAGTTCCACAGGACCTCAGGCACAGATCATGGAGAATGGAAGAGTGTGAGTAGATGCAGAAAGGAGAAACAACGCCTGTTGTACAGCATGAGTGTGTGCAAGGAATGGCGCTTGATGGAGGCTAGGAAATTCATCAATAACTAAGTGTTGTCAAATAATTTATGACAGGTAATTGATAGTGTGTAATGAACGGACCCTTAGTAATTGATACCTAGAAACAGACTGCCTTTGTCAACTAAGCTCTGGATGTTTTCGTGTGAAGTGCAGCAGTGTGTTTTGTATGTTATTTTTCTACCAAATAGCATTATGGAAAATGAGGGAACGGGGGAGGAGATGCCTGAGCCGAGGAGCGCGGACAGCGTGAGGGTGGCGGTCCGGGTGCGGCCTTTCAGCCAGGTCAGTCATGCCATTGCCTTGTTGACAATTGCTGCCTGATTTTATCCACTTTTTAATAACAGTTACTGGGTTTGTACTTCAGCTGCTTGTCATTTATGAAATATTAAACTTATTTAAATGAATTTGTCAAATGAATAACAAAAGATCTAAGCATAATTTAGTAAACAATTTCATTCCTTGGTACAAGTAGCACAATAAAAAACTGACAAGAGAAATACTGTCAAGTTAATAATTATTTAAACCAGTGCAGTTTGGTGCAGGAAAATGTGTGGTGTCTGCTTTTTTTTTTTTTTTTTTTTTTTTTTTGGGTGGGTAGGGTGGGTGGTTTTTTGGGTTTGTTGTTGTTTGTTTCTTTTTGGGGTGGTTTTGTGTGTGTGTGTGTGTTTTTTTTCTAGACAGGGTTTCTCTGTGTAGCTTGAGCCTGTTCTAGAACTCACTCTGTAGACCAGGCTGTCCTCAAAACCCGCCTGCCTAAAGGTGTGCACCACCACCGCCCAGCTTGTATCTGCTTTTAATACATGTATGGGGCAGAGGTGGAGCTCAGTTGATAGTGCTCACCTGCCATGCATGAATCCCTGGGGTGGCTCACCAGCACTCTGTAAAACTAGGTATGGTGACATGGGAATCCCAACAGGAGAACTTAGAGACGCTGACTAGAAGCTGACATCCTGGCTGTGTTGTACATTCAGGCCAGCTTGGGCTCCACGAAACCCTGTCTCAAAAACACCCAAAGTTTTGTCTTTTATAAAAGTAGGTCTTGCCATGTGTGGACATAGATCAGTGATCCCAACACAGAATGCTGAATCAGGAGAATCTTAAGTCACAATGAGACCATGCCAGGCCACGCTTACATGTTAATAGGTTTGTGTGTGAATCTACAACTTTCTATGGAAACACTACCACAGCCTCCGGACCCAAGCCCCTCTGCGGGAGTGGGGAATGTGGAGATATAATGTGATATAATGAGCCTGCCAGGTAGAAAGCTGCGCGGAGCCCATTGTGACCACTGGAACTTAGCATCCACCCTTTCCATTATGGTAGGCTTGTCTTTACCCACTGTGACCAGTGATGTCTTGTTGATATACAACTGCCAGAAAATGCTAATTCTAAAGGGAAGTATCCAGGGGGCTGGAGAGATGGCTCAGTGGTTAAGAGCATTGGCTGCTCTTGCAGAAGACCCAGGTTCAGTTCCATAACTGCAGTTCCCGGGCATCTGATGCCCTCTTAACCTCCACAGGCACCAGGCATGCACATAACTACACGCAGGCAAAACACAAAGAAAAACTAAGGATTTTTAAATAAAGGTAAGTATCCAGTTGATTTTCTCCTTTCCAAAGCTGGGACCAAAAACCTAGAGGTACTTTTGTCCAGTTCTTACTGGAGAGCCCAGCTCATGAATCTGCAAATGGCAGCTACCTGACTGACACCTGATAGGAGGTACTCCACCTGGTAACTCCAGGTTATCTCCTGGAGCCTGGAATGTCACAGTGTGCCTCATTAAACACTTCCTGTGGAGACCATCCCAGCCCCACGGGGCTCCTGCTTTCATTAGCTCATGCTGTGGCCATAGACACCACACTACATGAGGGAGAAGACTCATGGAGTCCTGCAAACCCTGTACATCTTTGCCACCCGGGAAATAGGCTTGCACTTTATACACCGTCCTCCAGCTCTTCCCCCCCCCCCCCACCCCCCCCCACACACACACACACGTGCACCCTATGTCAAGAATTAAAAGGATGTTACCCACCAGTCACCCCTAAGAATGTCTCCTATCCAGGGTCCTGAATCTTGATGCTACCAGCTCATACCCTCATGGGTAGATGGATGAATGCGCAGTCCTACTGTGTCCTCTAAAGGTGTGCAATCTCCACTTAGGAGAGTCTCGCTATAGTAGAGGCAGGTCCTACCAGGAAGGAAGGGAACCAGGTTCCCAGCCTCTGCCTTGTGATAGCTGGTCTGTGTGTGGCTACTCCTGGGCAGGACCGAGGATGTCCAGTTCTATGGATCCAGTTATAAGGGGTGCTCAAAATGCTATCATCTAATGATAGAGCGGTATGCACAAGACCAAGGGAGGGTCTTCCTCCACCACCTATGGATAGTCAGAATGGGAGGTATCTTATTGAGCTCCCTCAAGTCCAATCCCATGTGGCTTTCTCATGGGGACTGGGCTATGGAAGGGAATGTGAGTATTCAAAATCCCAACCTCTGTTCTCTCACGGCCTTTCCAACCTCGGGTTCCTCTGGCAGCTTATATTACCTGTGTCTACTGTGAACCTCCTAGTATTGTGAGTGCTTTGAAGATGGAACGTTCCCCACAGGCCTGCATGTCAGAATGCTTGCCTTGCAGCCAGTGGCAGTTTGGGGAGATTGTGGAGCCTTTGGAACATAGGGCCTCGCTGGCCTCTGAAGGACTGAGACCTTCAGCTTGAGCTTGCTTGGAGTCCCATTATTGCTTCCTCATCTGCTAAGCTGTGAACAGACTGCTACAGGATCCTGCCACCAGTCCCCCGGCCAACCCCACCATCATGCCTAACCCACACGGTGGCCCACCAGTCCCGTCCCCCCCCCATCCCCACCATCATGCCTAACCCACACGGTGGCGCACCAGTCTCCCCCCAACCCCACCATCATGCCTAATGCACACGGTGCCCCACCAGTCCCCACCCAACCCCACCATCATGCCTAACCGACACAGTGGCCCACCAGTCCCCTGGCCAACCCCACCATCATGCCTAACCGACACAGTGGCCCACCAGTCCCCTGGCCAACCCCACCATCATGCCTAACCCACACAGTGACCCACCAGTCTCCCCCCAGCCCCACCATCATGCCTAATGCACACGGTGGCCTGAAACAGCCCAAACAAGCCCTTCCCTTCAAGTGCTTTGTGAAAGTCCTTTGTCATGGGGTGTGAGAACAGTAACTACGGCAGGGTGAGGACGTCGAGGGTCCAGTGCTCCCTCGTCAGTACTGCCTTTACAACCTGCATTTTGAACTGGTCACTTTCCCCGGTCTGTAATGTCTTTCCTAGTAGAATATCTACCCCCCGCCCCAGAATGTTCTCAGGGACCAGGGATATTAGTGCAAAAAAAGAATGGGGGTATTCTCCTCATGCCCAGGCACAGAACGACACTTGTTTTTCTCTGATGGTCGTACCCCCATTCCCACCAGTTACTTGACATAGCCCTCGCTCCTGTAGGCCTTTGGCACCTGTAACCACCAGAGCAATGGGCTCCTTGTCTTCATAGGCCCAGTGGAATGGTGAGTTCCTTGGGAGGACTGTGTTGCCCTCTAAAGCTTATTCTGGGATAAATTCTTGGCTCCACTTCTTACAACATGGAGTTGGGGACCCATTCCTATGCCCTACAGGAAGCCTCCTCCTCTATGGGGTAGCACGGGAAAGGCGAGAACCCTGGTTTGAGTTTACTTTCCATCTGCTAGGCTACGGAGATCATCTTGGATTATCTTCTTCCTGGAGTTCGGGAACGGAGCAAATCACACCACACCGTTCCTGTGTTCTAGCCAAGTGCCAGCCAGCCTCCCTCCCTCTTCCCTTCCCTTTTGGCCTGTTCTTTCTCTTGTCGGGTTTTATGACAAGGTGTGCACACTTTCTCAAAGGCCGTCAATAGCCTTGTCCACATCATAAACTGCTCTTGGCTACTTTTCTTACCATGACAAAACACCGTGACCAAAGCAATTTATGACAGGAAGCATTTAATTTGGGGACCCATGGTTCCAGGGTTTAGCAGTGTCTGTGACCATCATGGCAGGGAGCCTGGCAGCAGGCAGGCAGGCATGGCAGTGGAGCAGTAGCTGAGAGACATGTTGGGACAACGACCACAGGAGAGATCTATTGGAATGATGGGGCTCTGGAAACCTCAAAGCCCACCCCAAGGGACACAGCTCCTAATCCCAAGTGGGTCAACCAACAGGACCAAGCATTCAAACGTGAGCCTATAGGAGCCATTCTCATTTTAAAACATGAAGAGAGGGAGGAACAGGCTCGGGGCTCTCCATTCTCAGGGGGTAGTTGGTAAGTTGGTTTTCCATTCTATCCATCAAAATGGCTTTCTTGGGCTGGTGAGGTGACTCGGTGGGTAAAAGCTCTTGTGCGCAAGCCTGATGACATGTTTGACCCTTGAAACTCATAGTGGAAGGAGAGAAATGATTCCCAAAAGTTGTTCTCTGATCTCCACATGCACCGTGATGAGAGCACATACACACACACACACACACACACACACACACACACACACACACACGCACGCATGCACGCACGCACGCGCACACACACACGTGCACACGCACACATACCATACATTCACTAATAATAAAATGAGATTTAATGAAAATGGATTTCCCTAGTCCTTGAATCGCCTGGGCATAAATAGCTTCTCCCATCCATGCCAGTTCCCACAAAATGCCCTTGACTTCCTTGGTGCTTGCTCTGAGCTACCTGCCCTGACACACCCCTCTCATTTGGCCGCGCTGCTCTCCTGGCCACAGAGATCAATTCTACTGTGGACCAAGTTCCTTGGATCTGGCAGGCAGGCTGGATGCTCTTCCTCAGGCCAGATGATGGCTAATGTTGCTCCCCTCTCGGCTCCATTTCTTCTCACAGAGATGCCATTCCCATATCCCAGAGTGTACTCACTCGAGCAGGCAAAGTTCTCAGAACTATCTGTTGAAAAGATTTTGTTAGCTGGGTGGTGGTGGCACATGCCTTTAATCCCAGCATTTGGGAGGCAGAGGCAGGCAGATCTCTGAGTTGGAGGCCAACCTGGTCTACAGAATGAGTTCCAGGACAGTCAGGGGTACATGGAAAAACTCTGTCTCGAAAAACCAGAACCAAAACCAAAAAAAAAAAAAAAAAAAAAAGATTTTGCTAGCTGTCTAGGTACCCTGCCACTGTGCAGTCTTTCAACAGTCTGCTTCTGCCTCTGTCTCCATTGGTACATTCTACACCTTTGTGTTAACAGTCACAGAAAAGCAAGTATCAGGAGTAGGTGGAGTCTCAGTCCTCATTTCCTTCGATGTGCTGATGAGGTGGCAGTTCCCTTGATTCCTCTCTCATTTTTACCTACTGCACATGGCTGGCCGCTGGGATTCTTCCCTTGGTGTCCCAGGCTTCCATTTCCCTAGCATTGTGCAGGCTGGAACTCTTTAGCACTTTTGCCCATAGCCATCTAGATATTGGTGGCCATCCAGTCCACAGAAACAACCCCACTACAGTAGCAAGACACTGTCTTTTCTTTTAACAGCGGTGCAGTGGGCATTTGGAAAACAGCTGTTCATCATCCAGCATTGCCTTTGGGGTATCCTCATTGGGACAGTCACGAGCATCTTGCCATACGGAGGGTCCCTTCCCACACAGAATTACATATCATACTTATGTGCCTCCTTGCTCAAGCTTTGATTCTCTTATCCAATGCCTCAGTTTTCTGGTTGGTTTGCCAATTATTCAAGAAAAAAATCCAGCCAGGCGGTGGTGGCACATGCCTTTAATCCCAGCACTCAGGAGGCAGAGCCAGGCGGATCTCTGTGAGTCCGAGGCCAGCCTGGTCTACAGAGTGAGATCAAGGACAGGCACCAAAGCTACACAAAGAAACCCTGTCTTGAAAAACCAAAGAGAGAGAGAGAGAGAGAGAGAGAGAG